CGCCTTATCCACCTGGCCATGCCGGGCACAAAGAACAATGTAACTGAAGTAGAAAATTTAGAAAGTAAAAACTTGTGGATAAGTGAATCAAACTGCGAGTGAAAACATATCTATTCAATAAGACTGCAAATTGAGAAGTGGTTAACAGCTGCAAGATTAGAAGGGGCTATAGGGGTAGTGTTGCACTCCTATTGGTAGAGGGTTGCTGCATAATAATTTGCATGTTAGTATGCAGATATAAATGAAAGTATCAAAGTTAGTGGTCAGCAAAAATGTGCACCCATAGAGGACAGTATAAGTCGATAAAGCTTTTTGTAAGTGGAAGTATGACATCGTATCAGAAAATACTTTTATCCCTCTGAAAATTTTCAAATTTCATTTGTGTAATCTGTAGTACCTCCTATATAATTATAAAATACTATTTCTCAGTAAAACTTTATATTTTATGTTATTTTCTCTAACTTAACTTTATACGTTTCTCAATTTCATCCCCTCATCATCACCACAAAAAAATTCGAAATAAATCTAAATTACCTTTTTTCTTTCCAAAATGACTTCAATCTGTAACATGAAACTACATTTGTATCCTAAATACCGTTAAACTCATAACAGTATACATCTGTTTATACTTAAATTTTATTGTTTTATTGCCCTTTGAACTATGTCCAACTAACAATCCAATCACACAAGTTGTAAATCACTTAATAAATGTGTAGCTCACGTTACCCCATATAATTATGTTATGCACAGGCTAATCGTGAGCTGCTCACAAGAGTACCTCGTGAAAATTTTTTATTATTATTATTGATATTCTTTATTTTACCTAATCTAACCTAAAAAGTTGCTAATTCTAACATTTTAGTTGATTTTATAACAGTAAATAAAGAATACACATGAAAAACAAGAAATAAAGTACTTACCTGCATCTTTTTTTTTTGCTGTCGAATGTTGATGAACACTTAACCCCACTGTTTTATACTAATTGTAGTATTGCACTAAATAATTTTTAATTTAATTAAATAATGCATCAAAGAACAAAAAGTAATAACATGCAAACAGCAGACAATGTCCCATAACTACCAAAATTTTTCTAGCTTTCTAACTATGCAACAAGAGTTGTTAAAAATTCAGCTAAGCTCGTTGATGTGTTTCCTGTGGGAAATAGACAATTCTGTATTTAGTAAACTACATAATATAATACATCACTTAATAGATTAAAACCTTGGCTTTCTCTTGGTTATAAATAATATAGTATTAAACATCAGAGAGAACTTGGCAATTTCTGAAAGAGAGGATGTGACAGCTATGCATGACAAGTGGGGTTTAATTTTCTACTTGATAGCTCTGTTACTAATATAAGATTGAAGACTATAAAAATGCCTTGTCTGAGCAATGACAACATTATAACGAGTAATTTACATTACATTTCATACTTCCTGGAGGGGTGGTAAATAAATAAGAGAAGAAGAGACATTTAAAAAGCAAATGTCACAATTCTCACACAAATTGAGGATTTTTTTTAATATTGCCTTATAAAATTTAAAAGCTTAAAACTAATATGATGTTAATATTTGGATTATTAGCTACATCTTGATGCCAACTTTATTTATATATGATAAGAAAGAAGTTTAATTAAATTTTGAGTGTAACTCACTAAAATATACTGACATGTGCACAAACTTATGCCTTTTCTGTAAGAGTTAACAAGGTATTATAATTGAAGACTAAAATGTCAATGAACTTTTTTTGTCAATTTGGCATTGAAGAGCTTACACCTATATAACTTGCTTCAGTTATGTTCAGTTACCATGAAACAACAATAATCAAAGTTTGTAAGTGTTTAAAGTGAAAACAAACATTGGTAATCGAAACAATTTCTCAATCAAGGAGCCTTCTCTGAGTTTAAAGGGAAATCTGCCTTAGTTATTCCATATAAAGTACAGTCAAATTTTCTTGTAAATTTTCTTGGCCAACGAACTTTCTTTAAATTTATCATGACATTCTGCCTTAGCTACTCGATGTATGTAACAGCAGTGTGAACCTATTGTACAAACCTTCTTGTAAATATCCTCAGGCAAAGTCCCTTCATTCTGTAGACTTAGACCACTTAATATGATTTTAACTTTACTCCTATATTCACGTTTGTTTAAAATGGAAAACAAATTCCTTTTTGTACCATTTAATATTTACCATTTTTATTGCTATGTAACATCTCCAAAGCCTGGTATTCATCTTTACTTAAACTGTATTTGTTTTTTAATCAAAGTTCTAATATTTTGAAGCCCTAGCTAAACATATTCAACAATTTTGACTTAATATTTGATATTTACTCTAATTAAAATACTCAATAACTGATATAATAGATGGTAAAGTTTTGCAACAAATTAACTGTGGATGTTTTAAAAAAAAACTTACTTAGTAACTGTGATGCAATAGACAGAAAATATTTTAGAAGAAATTTAAACCCCATAACACAAGGATTGTACATGTTTTACAGCAAACTTACTCAGTAACTGTGACAAAATGTAAAGGGCCTGTCCCATCATGAAGAGATTACCCACATCACCCTCACTGCTGGGGACACGAGGTTGGGATCCTGGTTCAGATTTCTCACTCTCTAAACACTCAGGAGGAACATAGAAATATTTGGGCACAATGGCATCTATAAAATAAGAGTTAGAAATAAAAAATTTTTATTAAAACTCATCAGATTTTCCACTTTTCCATAACTTATATTTTATGCTATACCCCATTCTTAATTTCTAATTATTGTAGTTGAAGTAGGCTAAGATGTAATGTACAGGACTCATAAGATTTGGCCATTAGAAATAATTTACTGTGTGTCACTTGTGGTTTCATGTTAGAATTTATTTTCTGTTGTACCATTATTAACAAACAAGGTCAAACATGTGAAATGTTTGTGATCATCCTTTAGGCTACCCCATATATGGGCAGTTATTTCTAATAGATGCCCTATTTAAGAGAAATTGAATGTAGAATTTATTTTAATGTACCTTATCCCTAAAACTAAAACAAATGATGCATATAAGCATAATAAAATATTTATTGATAAAAACACGAGTCAATTAGTTCTGGCAACAGTTGTTGTTATCATTAGGACTATCAATACATTGAAAACTCAGCCTATTTATTCTCCAAAGGGAGGAAAGTGACATAATAATGACTAATATTTAAGCATTAGATGGGAAAAGGGATTTGTTTTTTGCCAAATCAACCAAAATTAACTTGAGAGTAATGGAAGAAACAGCTATGGTGTGTGATAACAGGTCTAAGGTCAGATGTTACTGAGACGCAAGGTTCCATTGGAGGTGTCGTATGTGAGCATGGTCAAAGGGAATGACTTAGTGAAGTGAAGCAGTCATCCCTTAAAGCAGAAAGGATGCCTTTGGCAGTAGATTTGACATATAAAAACTAAGCCAAAATTACAGATGTACCAAATACTGTGTAGGTACTTAATGATAAAACCAAAATATATAGCTAGCTAAGTGGTCAAATGAGTTTCTGTAAGATACTGAGTGGGTGAAAGGACCAGAATAAACCAAACATCCAAATAAAAGTAAAAGTCAAATTCGAGTAAATGAAGAAGACCATCAAACACTTTGATTATTCAACATAAAACATATAAAGCCAAAGTCAAGCCAATGGGAAGGGTAGTGAACTGATAAACCATACCTGATGGCAAAAACAAAGAAAATGATATGATGACAGATGAACAGGAATATGAAGAAAAGCATCCTGCATATCTATCTTCACCACACAATTGGTAGGACTGAGAAATTTCTGTAACAACCTCATGTTTTCCCATTTGAAAATGAGATGTCTCTAGGTAAAGGTTGAATTGAGACAGGTCTCCAATCTTCTGTTATCTTTGGAACCACAAAAACGACTGGAATAAAATCCTAGAAAAGTGGGATAAACAATTTCAACAACTCATTTTTGAAAGATATTTGAGACTTCCTGATCCAGAATTTTTTAAGAAAATAATACCAGAAAGAAGAGAAAAATACAGCAGTTTAACAAGAAGAAGAACATGATGATGAAAATTAAAGACTAGACAGTAGGATCTGTCAAACCTAAGGGTCTCACAGATGAACAAATGATCCAAGACAGCCATCCAATAGTCATTAACTATCCAAATATGTTGATCAAGGAGTGCTGACACATAGCCACAGGATGTCCTTGCAGATTGCATAAGTAAGGACTCTAAAACTGTAGTAGAATTCTTGATACTTATAAATGCATTAGCATAAGAATTGATGACTTCAAAATTCATAGTGAATTCATAGAATTGTCAACAAGAAGACCTGAATTATGGTGGAAAAGCAGAGCTTATATAAGATGTCCTGATGCTTACACAGTAAGTCATGTGGAAGGTGGGAACGTGGAGAATATTGGATAAGTTGTCATGTTCTGCATTGTGCAAAGGACATTAAAATCTTTCAGTGATATGGTTGTTGATAGCATGAGAACAATTTAACAAGGAAAGGCTTTAAGTATTTCACATGTAAGTCTACAGTTTCAAAATACAAAGGAAAAAAAAACAAAAAAAGTGAAAAGAATTAAACAAAAAAGAAATAAAATGAAAACATAAATATATACAACCACAAAAATACACCTAAAAACATGTACGAGGCCTGTGAAAAAAGTATCCAACCTTATTTTTTTTGCCATAACCTGATGGATTTGAATCAAGTGCGCTTGCATGAGCCGACCTTGAACCTTCGTGCGCATGCGTGAATTTTTCCCGCTTGTTGATTGCGTCAGTTGTTGGCAAGCAGCCATTGAGTGAGGTAGTGTG